GAGGCGGGGTGTCCCCGCGGACGAGGAGAGGCCGGGGACGGCGCGGTGGGGACGGGACTGTTGGGAAGATACTCCCGCAGGGAGCCTCAGGCCCCGCACTCACCTCAGCTTCTCCGCCGGGGCGTTGGCAGCACTGCGCGGGGTCTCCTCGGCTGCCGGACAGGGGCACGCGCCTGACGTCAGCACGCAGGTGACGCACGGTTGGGTACCCGCGGAAGTGGGAGGGATCGGGAGGCGAACCCAGGCTGAGCTGGGACCTGAAGTCATCCCCCGCCCTGGCTCCGGTCGCTTATCGCGCACGCGCCAGCCGACGCGCCTTCCTCGTTTGCTGCGAGCTCCTCGCATCTTTCTCGGATGGTTGTATTTACAATAATAGTGTAAACGGTCGTTGGCAAAGCGCTTCCACTAACATTGCTTTTGGTCCTTGCAGTCTTGTGAAGTACAGTAGTATCATCCCTAGTTCGCAGCGAGCGCGGAGACTACTCAAAGCGGGAGCGACTTGCCGGAGACCACCCTGCGGGTGGATGGCCCTGTATTTTGTGGGTCCACCCTGGCATGAGAACCGAGCCTACGCCCAGTCTCCCTCGCTCCAGCCACAGCGTCCTTTTGCTTTAGAGACTTCCTCCCCACTGCAAGGCCTTCCCCTCACTTTCCCCTGCCTTGGCCTCTTCACCAGCCCTTCGGTTGGCTCTCGGCCCTTCCTGATCATCTATCCTCACAGCACCTGTTTATCATCTGTCTTTCCTGCTAGTGTGGGAGCTTGGGGAAACAGGAACCTTCTCTGTCGTTTTCTCAGATGTGTCCCAGTGTTAGAGGAAAACAGTTTATCTTAATAGTTTGTTTATTGATGACTACCACAGCTATTTGGCCAAGAAAGACACCTGTTTTCAATATATTTTATTTAATAGTCATCTTCTTCTGGACTTTTCTTAATTACACAAGAATAACTACATTTTTGAGTGATTACTATAGGCATGGTGCTAACTTTGCATGTAACAGTAGCTAATTTAATACTCAACAACCATTTTATAAGTTAAGAACTAGTACCCCCATTTATTGATACATGAACTTAGGCTCAGAGGTGTTAAAGGGCTGGCCCAAGGTCTCCAAGGCAGGCAGTGGCAGAGCTGAGATTTGAACCTGGGAGGCTGGCTCTAGTTGACCACATAATACTCAGCAGGTTTGTTATGGAGAAATCAACACATAAACTTCAGCTGTGGTCCTGCCTCTAATAATACTGTTAATATTTTAATGTGTAATGTATCAGTATTTATCTATTATATTTGTTACATCTATTGCACAAAAACATTGTAATCTGCTTTTCTCTCTCAAAACTACATCGTGAACATCTTGTTGTGTCCAATAAAGCATTCTTTATAAAGGCTATATTCTAATGCATGGGAATTATAATATTTATCCAATCTCCTGTTGGAATCAAAGTTGTTTTTGGCTATCAAAAATTTTTTACTATTGTAAAAGTGCATAAGCTTAGTTTCTTAAACTTGAGGGAAAACTGGTTGTTGTTTCTCCTCTGCAAGGCCAGTTGGCAGTGACCTTTCCTTCATCCTTCCTCACAATCCCATGAATGTCCCCAGACAATGTCTGCCCTTTCCACCAGCAGCAATATCTTGATGGGGTGTCACCCAACTGCTTGGCTTTTCCTGCCTTTATTCTGAGGACAAGGACTCACTTAGAACTTTGTCTATTATGTTGTCAGGTTTTTGTTGGAAGGCCCCTCCCCCAACTTTTCACAGCCCCAAAAGGCAGTGGCATTACTACTTTACCCCAGTCTACCCCTTTCCTTGCTGCTGACCCATCCAGACACCAGCCTCCCACTGCCCCACTGGCTATAGCTGCCTTAGGAGATGTCCAGTTCCACTTCCTCTGTGGTTACAAGCCCAGTGTCCATTCTTCCTTCTTCTGGTAGCACTTCCATTTCTCCTGGAGCCACCCCTCCCCCCATTCTCACTCCAAGTAACTCTAGAGGAGATGATTGTACCCCCAGTTGCAGGGATAGACTGGTGACACAGGCTTGGCCAATCAGAGCATTTTAGAGAGTGCCCTTGCTGCAGCATTTCAGTAATGGACATATGACCAAATGAGAGCCAATGAGATTCTATCCTGGGACTTTGGTCAGAACTGTCCAATTGAATGAAGCTATCAGCTGAGGGCAACATGTAGCCAAGCCACTGCTGGCAGTCATCTTCCCACTGCAAGGAGAGAGACTGCCTGAGACCAAGACGGGAAAAACAGAGCTGAGAGATGGAGACAGTGACACCAAGTCCCAACAGCACTGTTTGAGCCCTTGGATTCTGTCTTGCTTCAGCTTTAGCCACATGAGCTAATAAAATCCCTATACTGCCTGAGCCAGGTTGAGTAGGTCTCTGCCTCAACTGTGAGACTCTTGATGAATCACTCTGCCACCCCTGCCCCCCATGTCTGCCCTTGTGTGGTACTTGCCACAATCCTCTGTGTAGATGATTCCCAAATCTCTACCTCTTCCAGTGCTTATTCCCACCCCCATTTCCAAATTTCAGCTACTCAGAAGTCCCATCAGCACTACTGAAATCATCTTCCAGTTCCCACCTGTTTCAGGTTCTGTGGTGCTCATATCTGCTTTGGGCCCCCACACCCTTGTACAGCCAGGGGCTCCCAACCTTTCCTGCATCATAGATCCTGTACCCACAAAATTAATACCCAACTTCTAGAGGTATCCTTTGAGAATCTCTGTTTTAATTCATTTTATACAGCACAACCTTCATCTTCCCAGATATCAGCTCTTACCAAGTCACTTGCAGGCTTAGGAATCCCTCGAGTTTTCTCCTTTATCTTCCAAGTAAAATTCGAAGTCCTTCAGCCAGGCATTCTGTGTCCTCGGTGATCTGGCACCAACTTGCTTTTCCAAAGTTATTTGCTTTTCCCTTCTGTATTAGGGGTCTCCAGAGGAGCAGAACCAATAGGAAAGAGCTACACCTACATCTATTTCCCTTTCTTTCTGCCTATTCTATATCTCCTATTTTATATATATTAAGGAATTGACTCACACAACTATGGAGGCTGATAAGTCCCAAGATCTGCAGGGTGAGTTGGCAAGTCAAACACCCAGGAGAGCAAATGGTGTAGTTCCAGTCCAAGTGTCCTAGGGCATGAGAAGCAGGAGAGCCGATGTCTCAGTTGCAGTCCAATGGCCAGCTGGCTCAAGACCCAGGAAAGACCAATGTTTCAGTTTAAGTCCAAAGGCAGGAATAATTTTCCCTAACTCGAGGGTTGGACAGCCTTTTGTTCTATTCAGGCCTTCAACTGATTAGATGAGTCCTACCACATTAGGGAGAGCAGTCTGCAGTATTCAGTCCACCAATCCAAATATTAATCTCATCCCCAAACACCCTCACCCCCAGAATAATGTTTGACCAAATATCTGGGCACCTCATGGCCCAGTCAAGTTGGCACACAAGATTAAACATCACACTTTCCATCACACACCTTATGCTGACAACTTCCTTTTGTGCATTCAGGTGCCATAATTTCTTGCCACTAAACCCCTGCTCACGCTGTTCCCTTTGCCTAGAACACCTTTCCTGCTCATCCATTCTATCTGTCAATTCCCATTATGAACTCAACCTTTTGCCAACACTGACCTGTGTCCTTTCCCACCTCAGCGCCTCTGCAGATTCAGTGGTTCCCTTCTCTGTCTGCCAAACTCCTACTCCTCTCTCCTTCAAATACTATCCTAGACCTCAGCTCTGAAGCCCTGCCTGACAGCCCCAGGCCACAATCACTCTTATTACACTTTGTATTTTGAGCGTATCATATTAGAATCATTTCTATTTGTGCTAACACAACCATTAGTCTATGAGCAGGCAGGGATCTTACTCATTTTTGTATGCTTTGACCTAATTTCATGACACACTGCTGGCCCGGCCATCAAAAATGTTTGATAAATAATGCATGAATGAACTTAATGCCACCTCTTCCACAAAGCCTGCTCTGCTTCCGGCTGCCAAAAGGGATCTCTGCCTCCTGAAAAACACCGATAGCACTTACCTGGGGACTTCTTCAGGCCCTCACCCTGTTCTGGCATGTATCTCCATGCTGTCTCTGCGTGGCTGCAAGATCCCGGGCAGGCGCGGTTTTGAAAGCATCTCTGTACTCTTCAGGTGCCTTAAACATAGTGAGCACTTAAACACAGGCTGAGTGAGAGAAGCCTCCAAACTGTGTTGTCTGCCAAATGCTGAAGACCACAAGTCCACCACCTTCTCCCCAGAGCCTGACAAGGTTTACGAAAGACGAGGATGATCCACATTCAAGAGGCTCACCTGCTTGGTCTTCAGTCCTAGGATTTACATGAGAAAATCCTAATATAAGGCTTGCCATGTGATTCATAGGTGATAAAACCATATAGGAAAGTCAGGAATTGATTATTATTTTTAAAAATCCAGCTGTTGGCTGCCCCTAAATGAGGTTGTAATCTAGGAGGGATGGGGGCTGGAGGGGGCAGGTGTTGGCAATATTCTGTTTCATGACCTGGATGATGGTTACATGGATGTTTGCTTCGTAATTATTTACTGTACTGTACATTTGTGTCATGTGCTTTTTCTCATGGGTAATATTTCATAAAAATAAAGGTTAAAAATAATTCAATAAAACAGAGTCTCACTGCTGTTACTGAAAAGTTGATTTTGTTGTGCAAATTCCTATCACTTAAATGAGGCTACCCTCCTTAAATCAAAACCTGAGACTGGCTGGTCTCTCCTTCTGCTGGCTGGTAATGGCTCAGACCTTGTGAACAGCCTCACTCTGCTGCTAGGACTCCAGATGTGTTCCATAAGAGGCTAGAGCTGCTGCAGCTACAGCCTGCCTACTCCACGGCTCTGACCCCACGCCCACCCCTTCTGCAGCCCCTCCTGCCGCTGAGCCTCCCTCCTTCCCTTTGTGCCGCATCAGTACGCTTGACCAGGGACCTTGACCCTTCTAGGAGTCAGAGAAAGGGCCGGAACTGACCAAACCTGTTTCGCACTTGCCTTTTCTCCAACTGGTACAGGCTTGCCAGGCTTTCATCTCTGTTACATGTCTCTGGTGGAGATAATCTGGGTCACTAAAGAAGGGTAGATGAGATGGGATGAGGAAAGAAAAGTCTAGAAGTAACTGAGCAACTCCATCCCCATCCGGTAGGGTTTAGTAAGAACCCAGAGGCACATGGCACAATGATGAAGTTTTAA